AATTGGACAAGACTATCTATGTCGAGTCTTTATCAGGGTGTAGTAATTGGATAGGACTATCTATGTTAAGTCTTTATCAGGGTGTAGCAATTGGACAAGACTATCTATGTCTAGTATTTATCAGGATGTAGCAATTGGATAAGACTATCTATGTCTAGTCTCTATCAGGGTGTAGTGATTGGATTAGACTATCTATGTCTAGTCTTTATCAAGGTGTAGCACTTGCACAAGATTATCTTTGTCTAGTCTCTATCAGGGTGTAGCACGTGCACAAGACTACCTATGTCGATGTGTGTGAGTGTTCAGTGTATGTATTCCAGAGCTTCGAGTCTTCGACGTGCACCCAGTATGAGTTCTGATGATTGTGCGCATAAGCATTGGATGATTGCTATCGCTCTTGTTCCCCATTCTGTTTGTATTGAAAGTAGGGCAGACAACTGTGGATGTGGGTGTAGTTTCAAGTTGTATTTAACACTGTGGATGTGGGTGTAGTCTCAAGTTGTATTTGACACTGTGGATGTGGGTGTAGTTTCAAGTTGTACCTGACACTGTGGATGTGGGTGTAGTTTCAAGTTGTATTTGACACTGTGGATGTGGGTTTAGTTTCAAGTTGTATCTGACACTGTGGATGTGGGTGTAGTTTCAAGTTGTATTTGACACTGTGGATGTGGGTGTAATTTCAAGTTGTATTTGACACTGTGGGTGGCTGCACCGGCAACCATGGGTGTGCTATAACGTGTGCGTATGGGTTGGAGCTCGGCGACCGTTTCAATACGAATTCAAAGCTAAAGTGTATATATTTAAAAATTATACTTGGAAATCAATAACTATATATATATATACTTAAATACAGCTATAGGTGTCCATTTCGTATCAGATATCGGTCGTATTAGATATCGGTTGACAAGCGAGTATAATATACGATGGGGGTCGATTTGATACTGTCAGGCCCGTTCAATATGCACGCCACATCGACGAAGTATTTTTATTATTATTAAGGAAATTGTGTCCGCACACGAAGATATGAGAATATGCTATTTAATTCTGTACCTGGGAGGGTAAGAAGAGTATAGTGGATGAATTATACTACTTTTTATGTGGGTAGAAGCAAACACATCATTGTTATCGACCAGTGGTGAAAGCTAAAGTCGTTGGTGATCGATTCGGACTGTATATATCTACTACAAGCATGAGCTTGTTAATGTGGTGCTCACTTGCTCATGGTCTATCTAATTACATACATACATACATACATACATACATACATACATACATGCACGTATACACACACACACACACACACACACACACACACACACACACACACACACACACAC